AACAACAACAACTTCAGAATACTACTAGAGAAGGCAGAGTTATCCTTGCTATCCAGGCCTTCTACGCTGGCCAATTTCGCAGTATCCGCAGCGCTGCTAGAGCGTTGAACATACCTTATCAGCGGGTCTCTGATTGCCTTCGCAATATCACGTTTTAACTAGACGTATGCGCTAATTGCCAGAAACTTACTATACTAGAGGAGCAGACAATTATCTAGTATATACTTAACCTTAATTCGCAAGGATTTGCGCCCTAGCTATGTAAGGTGGCAGATATGGCTGATAAGATACTTAGTGTGCGTGGTGAAGAGCCTGTTGGCAAACTATGGGCTAGCAGGCTTGTGACGCGTTCAGACAAGCTCAAAATGGCCTTCAATCGAGCCAAGGATAGACAGAGGATACTACAGGAAGATCCTAAGATAATCAGCACGTGGTTTAAGCTAGTAGAGGATACTCAAGTCAAGTATGGCGTTTGCAACAACGACGTGCACAACTTTGATGAAACTAGGTTCTAGATGGGCGTCGCTTTGTCTTCAAAGGTTGTAACAGGCTCAGAGAGACGTGCTCGGCCAGAGCTTGTTCAGCCAGGTGATCGCGAGTGGGTTACCGTTATCCAGAGCATCTGCGCCGCTGGGTATGCAACCCCGCCTTTCATCATCTACAAAGGACGCGTCCACATCTCTGCCTAGTATGAGGAGACAGATATACCCCACAATTAGAAGCTCTCAGTCTCTGAGAACAGTTGGACAAACAACGCGCTTAGCCTTGAGTGGTTGAAGCACTTTAACACGCATACAAAGACGCGTCAGGTGGGAGTGTACAGGCTGCTTATCTTGGACAGCTATGAGAGCCATCTCAACCAGGAGTTCAAGGACTATTGCCTAGAGAACTAAATCCTTACTCTCTGCATGCCACCTCACTTGTTGCACATCCTCTAGCTACTTGACGTGGTCTGTTTCTCACTGTTAAAGCGTAAGTACTCCTAACGCGTTTAAGACTTAGCACGCTGACACGTCTTCTACATTAATAAGGAAGGCTTCCTACTAGCCTTTAGGGACGCGTTCCTTAATGTGTTTACAAAGGTTAACTGCTAAAAGGCCTTTAAGGCATTAGGGCTTGTTCCTACTAACGCGCAGGTGGTGTTAGATCGCCTTGAAGTGCGGCTGCATACCCCACTAGCAGTACCTCTACCCGAAACGCTGTGGCAATCTAAGACGCCAAGCAATACACACGAGTTTGGGTCTCAATCTAAGCTTGTAAGCGACTCCTTCTGACGATCGCTAAGTGCAGCGCAAGAGGGGTTCTCAAAGCTTGTAAAAGGGGCTGAAGAGATGCTGCACGAAAACGTCCTTATCAAGGCCCGCGTGCGAGAGCTTGAAGAGCAATTAGCAGTAATGACTAAGAGAAAATCGCGTAAGAGAAAGCAGATTCAGCATGGTGGCACACTTGAGTATGGCCCAGCAGCATCGCGGGTAGCTGCTGAGGCGTGTGTAGCAGCTCAGCCATCTAAGAAGACTCGGGGTGGAGGTGGTCAACTAGGAGCTCAGTCAACTGTTTGGCGCTGTAGGAACTGCAGCAAAACTAGACACAACGCACGAACGTGCTAGGAGGGTGCAGAAACATCTTCTAAATCTGATGCAAGCACGCAGTATGCTGGGTCACTATTTAATAGCAAGTAGTTGTAGTTGCAGTAACTTGTGTTAGTTGTGCCAAGAGAAAATGGCCGGTTTGGTGATATGGCCGGCTCGGTGATAATCTACGTTATATCACTTTGAAGTTACAAAAGTTGGTGGGGTGACCAACTCGCTTGTCTGACCGACTCGCTTGCCAACCATGTTATAGGCTTTACCGTGCACGGACACCGGGTGGGCCGGGTCACCAGGTGGGCCACCCCACCAACTTTGTCACCACATTTGACCCCCCCTCCACAACGTCACCACGATGTTGTTGCAGGCTGCTCTTTTATACATAGACTCTTTGAAACTAGGAGAATCTTTTTTGTATAGATAGTTAGCTAAGAAATACTGTATTTCCTGCACTACTTTAACCAACCACCACTAATGTTAGAGAAGGACTAATAAAGATGCCCACAAAGATTAACGTCTCCTCCACCTACGCGATGAGGCTGAGCTTGTAAAATACATTAAAAGCTTCACAGAGACTCACTGCCCACCTACGCAGCAGATAATAATTAATTTCGCGACCCCCTTGTGCAGTTGGGAGCCCTTAGATTAGTGGGTTTCCAGGCTCATTCACTGTCACCCTAATAACCTCACTACTGCCTAGACCACCCCTATGGAAAGCACGCGTTATGCGGCTGATAACTGTGAAAGATATTATCTATACTTTAATCTTTTAACTAAAAAAGTTAAGGAATTTAACGTTCTCCCTAAGAACACCTACAATACAGACAAGAAGGGATTCATAATTAGGGTCATTAGAAAGACTAAAAGAGTCTTTGATAAGGCTCTCCACAAGGAGCGTCAATATAAGCAAGCATCTCACGAT